TATCAAGTGGAGTCATAAAGTTTTCTGTTGGACTATCAGTGTGCATGTATACTTTAAAAAATAAATGTATTCATCATCATATACTGTGTTTTTGTCACTCGAATGAATTTTATTATTTCTTCAAGGTTCTTCACATACGTACACCTTAAGAGATATCAAGTAGGCATAACATGTTCTCAAAAAATTAGGGTTGCCACGCAGAAGAATTTTGAGTTAAGAGATTTTGCTGGTTTTGGCACGCACTCACAAGAAGTTGCTCATTCCTGTTCTAGACACTTTGGTTACAATTGCAGAAGACTGAGAAAAGGCTCTGGATCTGGGTGTGCAATGGTGGAGACAGCATCATCTCTGGGAAATGCTGATGCAGGAAGTAAAATGGGGTGTGGGGCAAAGAAGAAGCAAGAGACTGTACCTATGGACCCCTCTGGGAAGGGTTCCTCTCCACAATGGCAACAATGAGGAAGTCAGGGGACCTCAACAGAAGCTGAAAAGGACACACCCTGGAGGCAGATGGGGTGGTGGTGGGGAAGGGGAGGGGAGCGGTGTGTGAAGGGGGAGCAAAGCTGGCCCTATATATAGCTTCTTCACTTGCACAATCTCTGCCTGGGTTCTAATTATCATTTATTGCCAAAGTTGAGGAAAAGGAAGATCCCAGGTTACAGAATCTTGGGCTTTTAGACACAGAGACCAGCAGGACTCCAGCCACTGACCTGAATCCTCCCTCGCTCACCTCTACCCCACTCTCCAGGATTTCATTTTATCCAACTCTGCTCATTGCTGCAAGGCAAGCCCAAGAATAACAACCTTCAGACTTTGCACAGGTAACTGGGCTGGGGATGCAGATGAGACCAAGGAGACAGGGAGGGAGTTAGAGAAAGCAGGGAGAGGGGGCTGTGGGTCTCAACTGGGACTGAATAGGAAGAGACATAAAAGGGCAGATTGGAGATTCAATGAGCTGGTGGAGATTTCAGATTCTATTCACTTAACTGCTTTGGGTTGCCCCATCTCTAGCAAGCTCCAGCCCCATCTACAGCCTCCAGCCTAAAGGCAGCCCTAACCCCATTATAAACACCAGCAGCAACCCAACTCTTCAATTTCCAACATCAACATCAAACTTAGGCCCCACTCCATCCATGGCATCAACATCAGTATTGACCCCAGTCCTAGGAGGAGACACAACCTTACTTGCATCCTCAATGTAAGATCCAGTCCTACTAATTCCTTTAGCTCTAACTTTACCTTTACCTTCAATCCCACATTCAACCCAAGCCCAGCCCAAAGACCAATCCTGACCTTATTTCCAACCCCTGCTGCAAACCCAGGCCCATTCTCATTCGTATCCCTAACCCCTGGTTCATCCTCAACCTGAAATTCTTCTCTTACCTCAACTCAAATCCTGACTTCAGCTCCAACCTAGTCCCAGCCTTCCCTGTCTCCTCTCTCCAGCCCCAGCCTGGTCACTGGCCCTGCCTCCATTTCAGCTCTGACAGCCTCAGAGTTGGTCCAAGGATGTCAATGAAGTATGAAGACCTCCAGTCCTTGGAGAGTGAGAAGAAAAGCCAGGGTTCTAGAAAGGGTAAGAGGAAAGGAGAAATGGTGTCTCCTAAAATACTCTCTTAATATGTTTAAAAGGATCTCTGCTCTCACAGTATATCTGCACCTCTACCATGTGCACTGCTGGGGTCCCCCACACTGCGGGTGTTAGGCTCTAGCTCCTGGTGGTTGCAATATGAAGAGGATTTGAGAAGGACAGGATCAGGGTGGACCAAAGCGGTCCTGGCTGCTATACTCTGGGGAAGGTCATGAGCATTTCCACTGGGAGAGTGAACAGTCATGTTTGGAAGAAAAACGGTGGCGAACCTGACAATACAGATAAGCACGAGCCTGCTGAGGGCCTGGCTGCCCGGCTCACTCTGTGTCCTCCTGCCCCTGTCCCAGCCCTGATGATAAGACCTTACATATTGTCATCATGTGTTTCCGGGGGAGAGGGGGTCTGTGTGACTGAGAACTTGTGCTGGTCCATGAGGGGTGAGATGCCTGGGCATCCCCTGCACCACAACCTCTCCCCAGCTGTACCTGCACCACTCTTCATCCCTGACAGGTCCCTGTGGCCCTCTGCTCCTCCCCTGTGTCTCCCTTGTCCTCAACCGCCATGTCCTGATGTCCTCTCCTCTTGCAGGGCTGCCTCCTCCCCCAGCCTTCCTGCAGCATCTCTGCTCTGGCCCCTGGCCCCTTCTGCTCTCTCTGGGCCTCATCCTTCTCCTGATGATTGGTATCTGCGTGATTGGATCCAAAAGTGAGTGTCCCAGGATGGGCAGGGAAGGGGGCGCCAGTGGGGTACAGGAACCCAGGCACTGATGATGCTCATGGTGGGTAAAGACAGCTGCTGGCTCTGTTGCTTACTCATGGGTAATGTAGTCCAAGTGCCTAACCTCTGGAAGCCTGAGTTTCCTCTCTGCAAGCTTGGATAACAACAGTGCCTGTCCCTTAAAGTGGGGTGGCTGTGAGGACCCACTGA